TATCATAAAAGTTTCAATATTCCAATTTTATCTTGGCCTTTAGTTTGTTTATCACTTTCTAAGATCAAAATCTTATTTAGCTTTTTGCTGTTTATTTCAGATTTTTAAAGTGCTTAAGCTTATCATAAAAGTTTCAATATTCCAATTTTATCTTGGCCTTTAGTTTGTTTATCACTTTCTAAGATCAAAATCTTATTTAGCTTTTTGCTGTTTATTTCAGATTTTTAAAGTGCTTAAGCTTATCATAAAAGTTTCAATATTCCAATTTTATCTTGGCCTTTAGTTTGTTTATCACTTTCTAAGATCAAAATCTTATTTAGCTTTTTGCTGTTTATTTCAGATTTTTAAAGTGCTTAAGCTTATCATAAAAGTTTTCTTTCATTCAGGATTAAAGGCAGACTCACCCAGCATTTTCAGATTCGTCATTCTGAAGGTTTCTAATAACCTAGTAGTAGTTAATGAACGATTTTCAAAAGTGATTACAAAGTGAGGCTTGCAAACTTAAGAGTCCTTTAAAAGTCTTCACCATGTCTGTGAGCAAGATGGCTAATCTTGTCATCTCTAAGAGCTCAAACTTGCCAAAAATCACTGTCCTGGTCTTCCCTTGTAGGGAGCAGCCAACAGGAGCATATGTGGGCAATCTCCTATCGTCTTTATCCAGAGTGTTTCCAAGGAAACAGTCTGCTCACCAGTTCCTTAGTATTTGCAACTATTGTCAGCTCTGCTTTCCTGGAGATATCTTCAGTTTTCCATACCTCCCTCAAAAGTCTCAATAGTACCAGTACTTCAAAGTTTGTGAACCTTTTGAGAAACCAGTTGAACAAATGAGTCAAAAACATTATACCTATTCATTAATTTCTTGAGGAAAAAATCCAATACTATATATAAATGGAATAAAGAAATCTGTGGGTGGCAAAAAGTATGTGAACCTTTGTTTTCAATTATCGTTGAGTCATTCTTGGTCATCAATTATAATAAAAAGATAGCAGGTGATTTCTAATTTTGAATAAACTTTAACAATGATACATACAGCTGACATTAGCACGTGTAAGAAAAACCATTTAAATTCACCTATGAAGCAAGCATAGATTGTTCAAGCATGCTTCCTGAATTGGCAACTTCTGATTGATTAACATTTTTTATATTTTTGAGGGATGTGGGAAGTGTGCCAAGTGATGCAGTGATGTTATCATGGCAGAGAGGAGAGAATGACTGGCCTTTCAGCATATTTTCTCATCTGAATTATTAACAGAAATTGATTGTGTCGCTTTGAGGGACAACCACTGTCAAAAGCTAGACAAGATCATCCTAGTTAATTTATTCATAGATTTTAATGCTACCAGTTCCAATACATTTTTAAATCATCTAGCCCTTGCAGAACTATTACAAAAGTTCTGATACTTCCTGACCAGTTTCCAAATATGGTATTGAGAGACTAATGTTTTAGTCCACATACATTGTATCTTATTTTCTATGGAGATCGATGTCTAGAGATTTGATCTATGGGATCATCATACTGGTAATGCTCTGGTTCCTTGTCCTCTTTCATTAGCTCCCAGGGATTGCACATTTTGAATTAGCAACTGAAATCAATGTTAGCTTGGCTATAAATATGTAAAGCATATTTTGAATTCAACAACTTTAAACTTTCAGGTTTGCAATATAGGACTGCTGAGTATGATCTGGACTGTCTTATCTTGGCACTGGTAGAGCAAAGTTATCAGGCAAAACTTCACTAGGAATTGCTTCATGAATTAATTTTGTTTCCAAACATCTAACAAAAGGACAAAAGAAATGAATATTGTTTACACATATGCCTGGAAAAAGTCATAATTAACATTGTAAGGATGGAAATGTATAAAAATTTTTGTCAGTTATTCAGTGCTTTGAACTTTATCTTATTTGCACAAATATTTAATTGTCATGAAATCTGAAAGGAGGGCTACTTTAAGATTCAGTTTCTTTACATTACGCTCTGTGATTCATGTTTTTTTCTCTTTTAAAATTAAGTAAATTAACTCAAGTGTAAATCATGAACTGCAAAGAGATGAATATTATTTTTCTTAAAAATATTTTAAGAAAACTAATTACTCTATCCTTAAAATGAAAACAATGTAAAGTAACATTAAAAAATACATAGAATTTCCTCTGGAATCAGTTCAGATTGCTCAAATGTCCTCTTCACTGTTTAACAAAAACTAATCAATTGAAATGCAAACAAGCCATAAATCACAAATTCATTGCTGCACCAGCAAAGACATGTCCTTCTAAGATTAATTCTTTTGGCCAGCCCTGGTAGATATAAAATCTACAGTTATTGATGCCTAGATACATTCCAAGTGTTGGGAAAGTAGCCAACAGAACATCCTCAATCAACAAGACTGATCCAAAGACATATTAATAACTCACTGGAATTTAGCCCACATGGCAATAGGGTACATATCCAGATGTGAGTTTATATTTCAACTTCCAA